ATTTTTCCCTTCTTTAATGTGTTTTTTTAAATGTAGATTGCATGCTATAAAATTGTGAAGATATAAACACTCAACAATTGAAATATTTGTCAGTATTACCTTTTATTAAGTAATAAAAAGTTGTATTTTTCTCCCTATAAAAGTTGTGAAGTTTTCTGTTTTCAAGGGGAAGGCGGAAAAATGCGAGGTTTTTAGCGAGGGTATCTGGTGATATATGAAATACCACGAAAGGAGGACCAAAAATTCCCAAATTTAGGCCGTGTGGATTGTGGATAGTCTAATAATAATGATTCGCCTTTCCTGGTAGGATGAACGGCCATGTTTATTCTATTAATTCATTCAGTATTTCTTGCAGGCATCGAAATCCGTTTTCGTTCGTTAGAGCCTTTAATAAAATTTTAAATTATATTTTTATATCTTTATATTATCGCGTCATAGCAATATGCATTACAGTACTTTATAATATCATATTAACACTTACATTTTCTAAGTGTTTTCTATTGAGTTCGTAACACACACTGGCTTTGTTGAAGAAATTACTTACCTAAAATTTAAAAATATATTTAAAATTTATTAAATTTATTATAAAAAAATATTTATGACATATATNTACTTTATAATATCATATTAACACTTACATTTTCTAAGTGTTTTCTATTGAGTTCGTAACACACACTGGCTTTGTTGAAGAAATTACTTACCTAAAATTTAAAAATATATTTAAAATTTATTAAATTTATTATAAAAAAATATTTATGACATATATAAATTAAAGTTTGTAAACAACCTCTCCGACATGAAGCGAGCATATTTTTTCAAAGTAATTAAATGAAGATGATAAATCGAGACAATTTACATAATCGTACATCTAAAAATGAATAAACAAAAATTAATTAATGCTATTTAAATTAAGTAATAATTAAATGACGATGATGTCTTACAGCATTTCTGACTTCTTCACCCATAGATTCTTCTATGCAATCCGCAAAGTCACTTAATTGGTTAGTAGATAATCCTGGAGTCAGTAATTATTAGTTAAAAGTGGAAATAAATTAAATTTATGAATATGTTGCTTAAAATGAATATTTCCATAAAAATTAATATTGTAAGATTACGAGATGGAATTATGAATGAGATAAAACGTAGGGAAACATAAAATTTGATATTTTCCCCACCGTTTAGTAATGAACGTTTGTAATATGCATAAGTATGTAGTTTGCATTAATTATAAATTCATTACTCATGTGACACGCAATTATAATATTGTTTTCGTAACTATATTTTGGAAAGGAGACTTGAAATAGTTTTAGAGAAAAGACTGAGACAGGGTTCGACACTAACTTGTAAAACTCCTCTCACTCACAGCTCATAGGTGGAGGGGACGTAACGTTTGCTAGGGAGAACTAAATTCAGTATACATTTTAAATCAGAACACAAATGTCTAAACTCAGTATGTCTGGTCACTTTAGCTATTTTAGAAGTATTTAAGCCTGGAGGAAAGCCTAACATAAAAGCTAAAAACTTACCTGCAAATAAATTTTGGTTTTATGGAGTATAGGCTTTACAATTTCTAAACGTTTATTATTTTCTAAACAAATTATAAAATACTACATAATTGCGGTATAATTCCACTATTATTCAAGGCATAATGCCTCGAAACAACACTATTGTCTAGTCCCCGAGCGAGCATTAGTTCTAAATTATGCCACTACGGCGAACAGCGCAACTGGATTTGCGTCAGTTTTTCGACATTGACATTACTATTACAGTATAACCTCGAAAACTCGGCCTAATGTGGACCGAAGGGTGGCCGAGTTTGTGAAAATTCCGGGTTATCGGGAATGGGGTTAAAAAAGGATAAGTATGCGTGTTTCCTCAGAAAATACTGTATTGTACTTGTATGTATTGTTTGCTTGAGAATACAACAGAGAATAAACTGCTCAAATACCCTTAAACAAAGGAAAAGTACGTCCTTTATGAAGGCATAGAGCCTTTACTACATGAAAATGAAAATTAATGAATACACTGTGTACAGTAATTTACCTGATAAGACAGACCTCAGAAAAATACTTTATGAGAGCTTTTATACTTTTATAAAGCTGTCTATAATGAAAATTAATTAACTATGGATTTTTTTGCCCTGCCAGGGTGTGGCCGAGTTATCCGGAGTGCCGGGTTATCGAAAGCTACTGTATTATTATTATATATTGTTCTATCGGGGACAAATCTGGATAGGAACGATAGGGGTGATGGCCATACCACGCGACATTTTATTTATTATTAAATTACATCTTGAGATTCGGTCCTATCTGCCCTTACGTTCTAATGGGATGGAAGAGTGTTAAATATGTTGCTATTTAAAGTTGAAAAAATACTATATAATTGCGGTATAATTCCTTATATGCAGTATTTTTTCAACTTTAAATAGCAACATATTTAACACTCTTCCATCCCATTAGAACGTAAGGGCAGATAGGACCGAATCTCAAGATGTAATTTAATAATAAATAAAATGTCTCGCTCGGGGGCTAGACAATAGTGTTGTTTCGAGGCATTATGCCTTGAATAATAGTGGAACCTTTCTCAGAATCTCTATATTTATTAAACACAAGAAAAACAATTAAATTGCTTAATTGGTAGAATCGCATTGAATCTATCACATGGTAAGTCATACTTAAGATCTGTTCGATTGTTGGGATGTAATTTACGTAAATTTGACGTCATCCGTTACAATATTTCATTGTAAACTGAAATAATGACGTGAAATTGACGTAAAAATGTGCCCCATCCCGATCAATCGAACAGACCTGAAAATCATTAACTCTAGCGCCAACTTGGATTTCGATCACAATAATTTGAATAATCTTATTATACGAAAATTAAATAATCTAAATACATAACCCATTAAACGGGTATCCGTCTGTCCGCGTAACGGTATGCCAAAAACGGGCACTAGAGGCATCCTAGCGATGATTTTAAATTAACAATAAATTATTTTTATTTGTAATAGGAATTTATTATTGATATGAATTTATTATTTATACCAAGGACTGGTATAAATAATTATTATATGCCTTGATTAACCTTGCGCCGCACGTTTACAACATCCCGTGATTCAGTGAACGTCGCGCATTGACTCACGGGAAATTTGTTGAAAAAATGGTGGATACATTTAAAATCGAGGTTTACAAGCGAAGGTAAAAATTCGGAGAAAAAGCCAATAGGCTAGAGTCTCCAAATTAATAAGATAGAAAGAAAGAAAAGAAAGCGAAGGTAAATAAATAAATTACTATTTTAAAGTATTTATAGAATGTTTAATAGGTAGAAATTTAGATCCGTATGACGCGACTGGGACGATAAGATTTATCCTCCGAATGAAGGGGTGGCGACCCCCTTCCCTCTGTGCGAACAATAAATGTCTAATGAACCATACCCCTACGCGCGACCCTTCCCCAAGATATTGCTCTCCGAAAATTATTCTACAGGTTACGTGACCGCCTGTTTGCCACAATTTACCCTGCGAATGAGCGGGTCGGCGACCCCCCTTCCGAGTGTCCGCGAGCGCGCGTTATTTTTTTTTTCGCGCGGGTATCTCCCTTTTGACCACGGTGTCACGTGACCGGAAATAACGTAGGCGCATTTACAGGGGTTTATATCTTGCGAAGGAATCGCGAGTAGGGGTATGGTTCTTTTGACTTTATTGTTCGCACAGGGGTGCTACAGTTTGGGAGGTTGCCACCCCTTCATTCAGAGGTAAATCTTACCATTTGGACTTTAACGGAGCTGATATTGATAGGAACAAAAAAGTCAAAGGAACCGTGGCTCATGGAAATTTGTAAAGAACGCCCACTAGGGGGCGTTCCGGGCTACTAGTAAGATATAAACGGCACTCACCGCATACGATTCCTTCGAAATTTTGCCTTTTGGTAAAGGACTTAGCCGAAATTCAAGTAAAATACGCTAGAAAAATGGCGGACATTAACATTTTACTGCCTATTTTCTCGATACAATAATGTAGAGAAGCAATTCTAATAATTGGATATGAATGGAAAGTGAACAAACAGCCACTGGAAATTGACAAAGATAAGTAGCTGCATACACTTGCAGCCTGTATATTAATAAAGCAACGAACTGAGGAAGTTTTTATCTATAAAAATAAATTTCCTTCCTTTAAGCTTATCTCGAATATATGTATTATCTCTTAGGGGTCGAGAGAGGCCTGGCTCGCAAACTATTTGAGGCCTGTGTAAATTCCAGGTTCTTGAAAAAATGGTCCCGCTGGACCCCTCAATAGAATTTGAATTTATCACTAAATAAAATTCGGTGAAAAATTATTATTGCTGCGTTTTTAATTCATTATTGGTATACTTAATTTCAAAATACAGTGTACCTTCCGGTAACTCGACGATTGCTTTACCCGAATGCCCACTGTATTTACGTTGTTTTTATGTCAGAAAATACTAGTCCACGTAACGCTATAGTTTATTGCGAATAATACAAAAATAAAATAGAAAGTTTTAAATGGAAATTAAATTTATATACTATAATTAATAATTGATGAAGAATATAATGGATTAGTATTGGATTCAATTAGACATTTTTGTGGAACCAAAGTATATTAACGAGAAAATCACTCTTTAATTTATCAATTCTGTTGGTCTGATGATTCTTTTTTCGGCAGAAACAACCAATGTTTTAAAATTTGTAAACGAAAATGATGTTTGAAATATATTACCGCCGCGGTTAATGGTAACTAACGTGTTTTCTATAGAGGAGATATCGTTATGGTCGAAAATTCGAACCCGATTCTGTCCTCCCATAAGTTTTAGCTGGCACAATACTCGATCCCATTGTGGATCTGTCCTACCTGTAATGTGCGTAACTATAACCTCGTGCAAACTCGTAATGCACCAGTAATCAATCAATCTTCTCATAGAATATAAACTAAATTATTTTGTGTTGTTTTAATTAATTACAAAAAAAAATCGTAATAAAATTAACGCAAAAAACATTTTAATTGAAAATTGAATTACAAGAGACTTTTTAAAAAGTCAACAATTTTTTAAAAATGTATTTTAAAATTTTCGACGAATCTATTTTCCGTGCAACGTAACATTCCAATGTCGAAAAATCTTCTTCTGTAAAGATAAAAAAATGAATTAAATAACTGTATTACGACACTAGAAATTGGAAAAAAAATTTATAAATTATGTAAAAAAATAAATAGTCTTAAAACGTTATTTTTAAAACTGGTTTCAATAAGTAACTTATAATTTATTAAATTCATATGTAAAATTGAAGGTGAAATGATTGGAAAATATTTGACAAACTTCTGGAAGATGTCCTACGGCATTTTTTAAATGAAAAATGCCATTAATTAATATATTAGACACTATTCGAAAATATTGAACACTGAGGTATGACACCGGTTCGGGATCTAACCACATTAAAGCCGCCATAATCATTTATGGCGCGATGGTCACGTCTACTTCTGTAACTTAATTTACTACTAGTTTTCATTTAACTTAATTATATATTGGGCCGTAAAAAATAACGAAAAAATTATATTTACTGGTAGAAATTGTAAAAGTCCTTGTTTATTCCATTTTTCCGGCTCTCTCCAGGCAATTACGTTCGTCTTCTTTCTTTATAACCTTTAAGAAATGTAATTACGCATTCCTTTTATTATCTGTGTATATCTTACTATACGAGTACTGTAGCATTACGTATCATTAACACTTACAGTATTTAAACGATCTCCGTATTTCTTAGCACAAGACGGGACTTTTATGCGCATATCTTCAGCCTGAGATTTTAAAAAAGTATATAAAAATTTAATAAATTAAAAGAATATATCAATTTTAAAAACTTCTTTACGGCATCTGCGTTATCAATCGTGCAGGAGGCTTCTAAATAATCGAAGATGGAAGAGTAACCGAGGCATTCCATAAAATCATATGCCTACAAATAAATATTAAAGATCATTATTATAATTAAATTTAGAAAATAAATTTACCTGATTTAATGAGACAACTTACAATGTCTCTGTTTTCGTCTTTCAATGAATCATCCAGGCAATCGGTAAACTCGGACAACTGATCTCTAGATAATGCTGGAGTATTCACATTTTAAAGATTAAATTCTTGAAAAGTTATAGATTAATCAAAGTTATATAAATATTATTTCTTATTCACGCTATAATAACTAGAACTTGGTGCCTGAGTGAAGCGCATCTAACAGTAAAAACAATTGTAACGTGTATAGGGAATATATTCCTAAACTTCGAACGTGTCGAATGTGGTTTACGATGGTTCCGTTCGGGAAATTTTAAATTAAAGGATACAAAACGTACGGGGATGGCCAAAAGGTGTCGACAAATTGCAGGAAGATATTGTTAAAAACCGACGAATAACACATAATACATTACATAACTAAACACGTCAAAAATAAAGCGAAAAAAGCACTGAAAACACGCGAGCATTACGCAATTTTTCACTGCCGCAAAGTTCGAACTTCGAAGCATCGTTCGAAATTTTGTCGATTTTTTGCGTCCGAAGTTAGAGTTGTTCGAAGTACGAGGTACCACTGTATTGCGGTGTGCATTTCGGGAGAGACCACAATTCAATCCCCTCTTCGGCCGAATACGACAGACTATGTACTGATGAATACTGAAAATACTTGTAAATTACTTATTAATGAAAATACTTTTAACTGATTTTAAAATGTGATATGGTACATTAGATAGCGTATTTCCTTAAATTTTTTAGATACAGTACTTCCATTTTATGTTTTTTACTCGCTTTATTTATATTTGTCTTTTTTATGTACTGTACTCTATTTTATATGTTCGGATTCTATCGTTAAATGGGGAGAGAAAATCTTACGTCATATACATTACATTTCCAACTGTAATTGTGATAAATAAATACGTCACAAACTTTACGGATATTCCAACGATATTGTAAAGCAAGTATCATCAAACTCCCACACTGTAGTATTTGCATAAAATGACTATAACCACATCCATTATGTACAGTATTACATTAATATTAAATTAATCAAATTTAAAAGCCAATCTGGATACTTCGTACGTTTTAAGGAATCGTTAATCTTATTATGTGTTATACATGGGTTCGTATTCTTGATATCTAATGATGTCATTCTAATTACGTACACATACGGCAACGTACACAAAACGCTACTTTCGTTAATTATATAACTCGTAAAATGCGGCTGGGTTTCGGGATTGCAAGATTGGATCGAGATACATTATTTGTAGGACTCTAGGATACTAGATTTGGGTCACTTACTACATTTTGGACCATTTTAAAAACAATCTGGGCTACAATTTCGAGGAATTCTGCTTTACTTTTTATAAAACATATCTGGAAACCTGTGAGGTTCTCATCGAACACGTACTGTTTTTACCTGCAGTTTATGTATATTATTATTATTATTAAGAGGAAAAAAAAGGGTAGTCCATATGTTAGGTGACACCCGAAAGTGTGTTATTGTAAAAGCAAAACCATATTTATCAGATTAGACTTATTCTTGCTCTATTGCTCTATTATAGTATGAAGGAACTTCCATGTAAACGAACCAGTTAACATACTCTTATCTTAAGAGGTTCGAACAGAATTTTCACTTCGAATTTCGAAATAGCCGAATTCCTTAACGTATAGATCTTTATATCCCGGCCGGGACAAAAGTACAGTTACGAACTAAAGGGAGTTCAAACTATCCGAGTTCGAGTTAACAAAAATTTCCTGTATTGGTGTGTGGCATGACCTAATTATTTAATTAAGCAAGAAGGTGAGTTAAAAGAAAAAAATCTTCTCATTGACTTAACATGGGGATAACCTTTGACCCTCGCTACCTCCCGTTCTAGATAGAATTTTTAAATTTGGTCTCAGTCACGCCGCGCCATTTTATTACTTCTATTAATGTGCAAAATTTTGTTCAAATCGGTCGAGTCGTTACTTCGCAAAACGTGTTCCAGCGATTTGTCTGCAAATCTACCCCCAATTATTACTTTTTAAATATTTTACACGAGGTTGAACCATTTTTACAAATCGTATAAATGATTTATGTGTAAGACGTGTTTTCAGTCGGTTTTGCTTGTCGACCCGACAGCGGTAGGAATTAAATTCACATTTAATTTCTACCGATGTGGGATCTGAAAGATCGAAAATTTCGGGGATGGCCAAGCCCTTCCCTCACCACCCATTGTACTTCTGCACGAGCCCACGATGAGTATGACTAAGCAAACATGCCCTGTTAATACTCACGGGGCAAAAAGAGAAAAAATAAAAAGGTGTAAATTATACTTACCGCATATTTCGAAAAGTGATCTTTTCACAAAGGAATTAGCCAAAGTGCAACTAACATACACCAGAAGAATGGATATTACGATTTTCTTCATGTTTTCTCGACGTAATAACACAGAAAAAAATATTTTAGTAATTGTAAACGATGAAAGAATCGATGAAAATCATCCTCTTTAAAGAACAAAGAGTAAAGCAATTATATAGGCCTATATACGTGAGTGTGTTAATACCGATAACGAGTAGCGGAAGTTTTAATCTTAATAATACGTTTCCTTTCCCCCTTGTAGTTTATCTGTCGTTCTACATGCATTTTAATTGTAATCTATAATTTTGTTTTATAAACTTATTTATTAATAAAACAGTTGTTAATTAATTAATTAACTGTGACGTGTATCAAGAAGTAATCGATAATAAGACAGAAGAAAAAGTTGTCAATTAAAATAATGTAGAGAAAATTAATAATATTTTAAAATAAGTAAATGATACTTAAATTCGACTGTTGTCGTAGAGTTTTGTTCTGTAAGTTGTGGAAATTTTTTTCTAATACATTTGCCATCGTCTTAGGGAATGTACCATTTCATGTTTTTTAAGTCAAATTTCCTACATTTCCTAATTTCCATTTCCTTTATATTTTATCGCACACGTTGAACATCTTCTAGTTTAACTCACCCCTCAGATCCCGTCACACGCGTAACAAATTGATCCCCTATTGGAGAAGATTTTAGGATAAAAAGGGACAAATATCCCAGTTTCGAGGCACTCTCTTCGAAGTTCCCTCCGTCATCCTCCCTCATCAGCTCTCCTCGTCTCCAGTCTCTCTCCTCTTTCACTGATCAACCGATCAGTGAAGTTTCCCATTCTTCGTCCCAACGGTAGAATTTATATCATATTATCCAGAAGTATTATAGGCCTACACTTATTGTAAACTCTCTTTATTTTAGCCATTAAACTCTTCGTTATTTGTTAACTTGACTTTGATTTGGATTTACTTTTTCGTCGGTCACCCTATCCACGGATTCACAGACCCTTCTCACTCGAACTACAAACCCCTCTATTCGAACGTATCTTTAAGAATAGATCTAATCACGAGTTAGGACGCGAATTCTAACTATCCTAACTGTTGTCAGGATCCTGACGTCGAAAGGATCCTACGATCTCGAAGAAAAATAAATCATTTAGCCATCCACCGACAAAGTGAGCGGGCCTAACCGTCCCGACTTCGCAATAGGTGTTAAGAATTAATAAACTCTAAAGCAGCCGAGGTAGACAAATCAAAAATATTTGAGAGCAAAAGAAATACTGTAACGCATCTCGAAAACGAACTAGAAATCATCTAGGCTACAGGTGAAAAAAACACATAACATCCGTCTTTTCTTAAATGCATTAAAGACGATATCACCCACATCAATTTCAATCGAGAAGGGAATTCTCGGTAGCGAGACTTTTCTTTACTAAAATAAGAATCAAATTGACTGATCGGAGTGATGGACTTTCTTTGCTTTTTAAAATTTGTAAATCAAATGTTTACTATNGCTTTAAGACTAGAAACAAATAGATTTAGACTAAACACTATATTAATAAAAAGATATTTAATGTTTCTACAAAAAATTATTAAGGCAGAAGACATAACAACAAAATTACTGTTTTTACTATATCACAAATCAAGGGAAACGGATTTAAAACGAAGTTGGATAATACAGCTATCGAAGATAGTAAATAAATACGGATTCTCTATTACATTGTTTTTCGATCGTACACATAATATGGAGCAATATAGTAAAGAAATAATATACAGAGCAATGGAACTCTCCATCGTTCAAGACATTGAAGACATACGAAAACGGGAAAACACAAGCTGGTATGCAACAATTTTAAATTACCCAGTAAATAATAATTATATATTGACAAATCTAGCTTTTAACATCAAAAAGTTTTTTATACAAATCAGGCTAAATAAAAATGGAATAATTATAAATGATAAATATATAGACTATACCCAAACTAAATGTCCAAAATGTACCAAAATCGTATCTAGAGTTCATATTATATGTGAATGCTGTAATGAAAAAGATAAATTACAAAGGCTCCAGATGGGACCGCTGGTTAACTGTAATAGTGAGATGGAAATGTTTAAGACTTTTGACAGAGCCAATACTAACACAATTTATATGTTATATAACTATGTTAAACAATTTATTAAATGATAATTGTGAAAAAATATTAATGTAAATTATAGATTAGAAAATAGAATATATCAGTGTTGATAAGAGAATATATAAGAAGAGAATATATGAGATGTTAAATTAATACTCGTTTTTCAAAAGAAATTGCCCTTGTAACAGGCAAAAGCCTTTTACAACAAATAAATATTATTATTATTATGTTTTGGGTTAGTGGGTTTTACTCGGTACACACCGGTGGCTGTGTACTATGCCGGACCAGAGTCAAGGCATAGCAACCAATACAAAACTAAAATTAAATGTGTGTGTCAGTGTCTGTATTAAAGAATTTCCTAACAATATGGCATGTATTCAATATAGTGGCCTTCTGTAGTGTGATGTATGTATTTCTACTNAAAAAAAAAAAAAAAAAAAAAAAAAAAAAAAAAAAAAAAAAAAAAAAAAAAAAAAAAAAAAAAAAAAAAAAAAAAAAAAAAAAAAAAAAAAAAAAAAAAAAAAAAAAAAAAAAAAAAAAAAAAAAAAAAAAAAAAAAAAAAAAAAAAAAAAAAAAAAAAAAAAAAAAAAAAAAAAAAAAAAAAAAAAAAAAAAAAAAAAAAAAAAAAAAAAAAAAAAAAAAAAAAAAAAAAAAAAAAAAAAAAAAAAAAAAAAAAAAAAAAAAAAAAAAAAAAAAAAAAAAAAAAAAAAAAAAAAAAAAAAAAAAAAAAAAAAAAAAAAAAAAAAAAAAAAAAAAAAAAAAAAAAAAAAAAAAAAAAAAAAAAAAAAAAAAAAAAAAAAAAAAAAAAAAAAAAAAAAAAAAAAAAAAAAAAAAAAAAAAAAAAAAAAAAAAAAAAAAAAAAAAAAAAAAAAAAAAAAAAAAAAAAAAAAAAAAAAAAAAAAAAAAAAAAAAAAAAAAAAAAAAAAAAAAAAAAAAAAAAAAAAAAAAAAAAAAAAAAAAAAAAAAAAAAAAAAAAAAAAAAAAAAAAAAAAAAAAAAAAAAAAAAAAAAAAAAAAAAAAAAAAAAAAAAAAAAAAAAAAAAAAAAAAAAAAAAAAAAAAAAAAAAAAAAAAAAAAAAAAAAAAAAAAAAAAAAAAAAAAAAAAAAAAAAAAAAAAAAAAAAAAAAAAAAAAAAAAAAAAAAAAAAAAAAAAAAAAAAAAAAAAAAAAAAAAAAAAAAAAAAAAAAAAAAAAAAAAAAAAAAAAAAAAAAAAAAAAAAAAAAAAAAAAAAAAAAAAAAAAAAAAAAAAAAAAAAAAAAAAAAAAAAAAAAAAAAAAAAAAAAAAAAAAAAAAAAAAAAAAAAAAAAAAAAAAAAAAAAAAAAAAAAAAAAAAAAAAAAAAAAAAAAAAAAAAAAAAAAAAAAAAAAAAAAAAAAAAAAAAAAAAAAAAAAAAAAAAAAAAAAAAAAAAAAAAAAAAAAAAAAAAAAAAAAAAAAAAAAAAAAAAAAAAAAAAAAAAAAAAAAAAAAAAAAAAAAAAAAAAAAAAAAAAAAAAAAAAAAAAAAAAAAAAAAAAAAAAAAAAAAAAAAAAAAAAAAAAAAAAAAAAAAAAAAAAAAAAAAAAAAAAAAAAAAAAAAAAAAAAAAAAAAAAAAAAAAAAAAAAAAAAAAAAAAAAAAAAAAAAAAAAAAAAAAAAAAAAAAAAAAAAAAAAAAAAAAAAAAAAAAAAAAAAAAAAAAAAAAAAAAAAAAAAAAAAAAAAAAAAAAAAAAAAAAAAAAAAAAAAAAAAAAAAAAAAAAAAAAAAAAAAAAAAAAAAAAAAAAAAAAAAAAAAAAAAAAAAAAAAAAAAAAAAAAAAAAAAAAAAAAAAAAAAAAAAAAAAAAAAAAAAAAAAAAAAAAAAAAAAAAAAAAAAAAAAAAAAAAAAAAAAAAAAAAAAAAAAAAAAAAAAAAAAAAAAAAAAAAAAAAAAAAAAAAAAAAAAAAAAAAAAAAAAAAAAAAAAAAAAAAAAAAAAAAAAAAAAAAAAAAAAAAAAAAAAAAAAAAAAAAAAAAAAAAAAAAAAAAAAAAAAAAAAAAAAAAAAAAAAAAAAAAAAAAAAAAAAAAAAAAAAAAAAAAAAAAAAAAAAAAAAAAAAAAAAAAAAAAAAAAAAAAAAAAAAAAAAAAAAAAAAAAAAAAAAAAAAAAAAAAAAAAAAAAAAAAAAAAAAAAAAAAAAAAAAAAAAAAAAAAAAAAAAAAAAAAAAAAAAAAAAAAAAAAAAAAAAAAAAAAAAAAAAAAAAAAAAAAAAAAAAAAAAAAAAAAAAAAAAAAAAAAAAAAAAAAAAAAAAAAAAAAAAAAAAAAAAAAAAAAATAAAAAAAAAAAAAAAAAAAAAAAAAAAAAAAAAAAAAAAAAAACAATTGGAAAGAGCTTCGACCTTAATTCGAATGTTGATCGCACGTATTTTCCCTCCCTTTAAGCTTTTTTTTCTTCTATAACAATTCTTTTAGCTCACCTCGCTTAAATATTTAGGACTTATCATACACTAATGATAAGAATTTTAAATTGTAATGATATTATTTTATTAACAAAAATAATTCCAACAATTTCATAGTACTGAGGAATCGTTGATTTTATTACAGGTTCGTATTCATCATGTCTAATGACGTCATGCTTATATTTTTATGGATTTTTATTGCCTTCAATCTCTGACACAATATATCTATTCTGTTTATATTATACTTATTGTGCCGGGGCCAGGGGTCGATCGCCGATGACCACTTACTCGGCACGGGTTGGTAAAACCCGCTCTCGTTGTCTTAGGATGGCTGGAGGGCAAGCATTAGGAGCATATATAATGTAGCGTATAGTTCCTAGTGAACCATTGACGCGACCTCCTTGCACCCATAAGTTGACTCTCAGCATGATTCTGGCATTATCTGAGAGATTCAAATACTTGGAGAGACTGAGAGCAGAGTCATCTTTGGACGAAGGCAGAGCAATATCTGGAGTGTTTTCAGTAGCTATATAAGCAACAGGATACCCAGTTGACTGCAAGTAGTCTTCGTTGCTTTGTTTAACTTGTTCGTTTGTTGGATATAGCTCTACTGCCGTTTGCACTGATCAAGTTCATCTCTGCATAAATAGG